CTCTCTCTCTCTCTCTCTCTCTCTCTCTCTCTCTCTCTCTCTTTCGTTCATTTTGTCTCATTCTCTCTCATTCACTCTCATTCTCTCTCGTTCTCTCTCGTTCATTCTACTTGAGCCGTCCCCTTTGCCGCACTCCAGCGGTCGCTATCCAGCCTCTCAGTGCTTCCTAGCCCCGATGAGGTTCGTTCGCCCAGACTTGGAGATCTTGAGGTGTTCCCTTCACAAGTCAGGCTTGTCTCTTTTTTCCTTCCACGAAAGCCAGAGAACTTGGTGCTTGCTTTTCCTTCGATACTTACACCCAAATTTATAAGTATTCTTCACCTGTGATTTAATGAAACGATAGGGAAAGGTGGAGAAAGAGAGAGGGGTGAGGGACAGCATGCAAGCAGTTTTACGGGATATGTGTTGGCCTCCGGATGCATTTCATACAAGAATTATACAATATTCAGTTCGCCAGGACGAAGTTATTCCTCACCCCCCCCTCTCTCACTCTCTCTCCCTCTCTCTCACCCGAGCTATAAGTAAAGATTTATAGATAATTTTTTTCGATCGGCTGTACTGAAAAATGTGCAGGTATTCTTTTACTAACAAGTGCTGTATGTAACTAAAATACATACACTGAAATAGAATAAAAGCATTTCTATGGCATAGCATAGTATCTATCGTACCTATTTTATTTGTAACTTTGATACTAATATTAATAAATGTTATGTACTAACCCATATAAATTGTAATAAATATTTTAATTAAGAATTTTTCAAATTACGATTTAATTTCAGAACTGATATTTCAATGAATTTGTCATGAAAATTACGTGCTTACTTTCCTAAAAAGACTTTCATACCAATTTTGAAAATTCAAACAATAATATTTCACTACAAAAAAATATAGTAGCATATTTTTAGTTATATTTTCATTTATACTCGAATATGTAATGCTTGAAACGGAGGTTAAATTATTGTGGCAAGCAAGAGAATTCCGTGAAAATTAGATTTCGCGTGGAAACTTGAGTAAAAAAGAAATATCTACAGGTATAGAGAAAAAATCATCCTAAGGGATCTTATAAAGGAAATTCTATACAATGTAATTCGACTTTTTACAATAAAATTCTTCTTTCTACGAACAGAAATAGATAATCAATAGATAATGAACTGAATGTTTCGGGTACCCCAGGAACCGACTACAAAAACTCTATATTGAAAAACTATCGAATGTTGATTGAAAATTATGTAATAAAATCTTACAATTTCTACGAGTTTTATACTGCGTTCTCTATAATGTGCGTAACGATTCTATAGCAATTAATAAATAAGATGTAAAAGTAATTTCATAAATGTATAAAATTTTCATGTAATTATTTTTTCAGATGTAAAAGTAATTTCATAAATGTATAAAATTTTCATGTAATATATTATTTCCAGCGTTCATCCGGGCGTTTCATTCGCTCATTTCAAAATTATTAAAAACCTCAACTAAGTGGAAAGCTCAAGTTCATTCGAAGGACTACTTAATTTAGACTTGTTAATAAGGTGTCACGTATCCTCCCATGCTCGCGGCACGTGAGTTGACAAATTCAACATCTAAAGTTTAAAATTTCTAAAGTTGACGACGAGGTCAAATCAAATCGAATATTCCGTAGATTTTTGGTGTTGATTACATTAGAATTATTATTACGATAAGGCTTAAATTCTTTCTTCTTTATACAAGCAATTGAAATGCAGAATAATAATTATGTGCCTTGAGATTTACCAGTCCTGCCGAAGTTGATCGTAAAATTAAACGACGATTATTAAGAAAGCCGAAACAGAACGATAGTTATTTGAGCACGGGTTGGTTCATCATTATGAGGCCTGAAACGCATTGGCACAATTCCCGTGAAGAAAGATAAAAAGTAAATTCAATAATAGTATGAAGGGTATTCCGTTATTTTGTCAATTCTCGCACATCAGCCACAAAGTTATGAGAATACGCCAATGCCATTATGTCAAATCTACATTTTGCCAATAAAAGCATAATGGTGTAAGCAACTTATCAAAGAGCATTTTAATCGTCAATTTAACGTTTTCTTGACATCGCTGCTCGACCATGAACATTTTTAAATAAAGAAAATAATTCCCTCGATCGAGCTCATAAGTTTCACCGTAAATGTAATGCGAGCTCTGACCTAATCCTTTGGGGAGGGGGTTATTACAAGTCAACAACGGTTAAAATAAAGCATCGCCTATGGAGTAAAATTAATTGACGCGTTCCTAAATGCCAAAGGACGAACGAGTCAAGAATTGATTACGTCGTCGAAAGCCCGTACCCAGGCTGATCGGTCTGTTATCTGGAAAACCGGCGTAACACCTGCTGAACCACCTGACGATTCTCCTCTCGCGACCAAGCATCTCTACCGGCGGCGGCTGCTGCGAACGCGATGAGGACGTTCTCTTTTGCTGCCCACCCATCCCCTTCGGTCCCACAGTCGCCATCGCCACCGCCGTCGCCGTCGCCGGCAGAACCACCGTTGTCCCTCCGGCCCCTCCGCTCGTCTGCTTGAGATGTTCATTCTTGGGAGCATTGGAACGTCGGTGTTGGTTGTCATGGCCGCTCCTGACCTTTCGCGTCGTCCACAGTCTTATATTTCTTTTTTCCGAGAGCGCTGGGCATACGAAAAACGTGCTGGCGGCAGCCCTTCTGCTACGCGCCAGCACCTTTTTTTTGCCATCTGGATCCACAATCCTCTCGCTTGATTGATAAACGTTTGGCGGATTAGTGCGTAACTTAGTTAAGCGCACCGTCTGCACGAATATCCTATGGTTTTATTTTACCAAGCGCCTTTAATTGATTATTACTGTTAGCCATTTTTATCACACCTTATAACGGACTTCTTAGTAGGTTTAATGCATAAACTATTTGTCCTAGTTATAGCATGATTACAGTTATGAAAATCGAATTGATAAACTATCGTTGATCAAGCGCAAATGTTAAATACATATGCACGCCACGGAGTGCAGTCAAAATTCATTCGTATTGTCAATTAAGTCATTACAATATTAATTTCTCAAATTAAAATTTCAATACTAGGGTGATGACAAAATTGTTTATTCATGCGTTTAACTATTGGCTTTTGTTATAATTTATTTCAACGTTTCATATGCTACTACTCTCTTTCATTACAATATTTTTTTTTCAACTTTTTTCTTATAAGTAAAATTTAATTAATTAATTAATTAAAATGTTATATATTCACTTATATATATATATATATATATGCTATTATTAAAATAATAAATATACACAGTATTTAGACAAGATATAGTAATATCGACTGGCTGTACAGGTATATTAAAATTTTGAAAGTTCAAACCTCGAATAGCAATTTCTTTTACAACCATCGAATATTATCAATATTTAATTTGCAATACTTAAAGTCTAGTAAAGCCAAATTTAAATAAGCAATGCCAGTATTCTAGAAAATTCAAGATATTACAGTAGCGAACAAATATAACTGCTGGAATATCCTGAATAATTAAAATAAAGAATGATCGTTGAGGATCAAAATATATAAAGTAATTATGTGATTCTATCAGATTTTCGAATCAATCATTTAGTATTAATGACGAGCAAAGATCTCACATTTATTACATTCACTTACAGCAGCAGCAGCAGCAGCAGCAGCAGCAGCACTAACAACAGTAACAACCACACCAATAATGATAATAATAATAATAATAATAATAATAATAATAATAATAATAAGAAGAAGAAGAAGAAGAAGAAGAAGAAGAAGATGATGATGATGATGAATAATAATAATGTAGAATTAATTATATTCTTGTTATATAGTTAAATATAAACTTATTTTTGTTACTTTTCCATTTTTATAATATTTATGTTGATATAAGACATTTATTGCTTACTTATATTCTAAGTTTGCATATTGTTTTTAATAATTACATACTTTTAGATTTATTAATAATTTATTAATTTCATTAAATTGTATAAAGAAAAATTTAATTTAATTTAGCTCAATATTTTCTTAAATACAATGAATTAATCTTCTTCAGATAATAGTAGAGTTTAGATTTATAAATAAGTTTATAAAGTTGTCTTATAATTATTTTTGCAATAATTGAGATATTATATTATTATATATAAATATGTTGATGCAATTAATTAAAATATTTCTTTCTTTCGTAGCTATTATATATTTGACATTATTTGTGAAATTAATGTGTTGTACTAAGCAATAAAAACGTTTGAGGCTATCCGAAAATAATCCGATATAATCATGAATATTATATCAAAATAATTATTTAGATTATGTGAATGTCATAACTGTACATATTCTGAAAAACAAACACGAAATATCGGTAATTAATTTATTTAGTTACAACTTAATATATATTTGCAACAAAAGCATGTATACGCAACTCCATCAATATCATGCAATGAAAATCTTTAATAATGAGTTATAAAAATCCTTAATCAGCCAAAATGGATCTATAAATAAAAT